GTGTTGCCCATTATCTGCTTTTACATATGAAATTGTACTTCTGCTTCCTACTAAAGTCTTCTCTGTTCTTGTTCCTATATAAGGAGCTCTGTTGATGCAGTGGCTAAGCCACTTGCCTGCTAACCAAAAGGTCATGGTTCGAACCCACCAGCTGCTCTCCAGTAGAAAGATGAGGCAGTCTGCTTCGATAAAGATTTATACCCTTGGAAAGCAGTAAGGCATGAATGTTCCAGGGAGAATTCCATTATATGCTCAACAAGTATTGACCAATTATGCCTCAGGGCTGGAGGTGAGGTGGTGGGAAGGGGTAGTTTGTGAATACAAAGATGTACAATTCAATCAGTCCCTGCTCTCAAAAAACACCTCAGTCTAACATTTCACTGGACTCTTAGACTCAAAAAAAAAACAAACCCAAACTCATTGCCATGAAGTAGACTCCTACTCATAGTGACCCCCATTTGAGTTTCCGAGGTGGTAAATCTTTACAGAAGCAGAGGGCCCAGTCTTCCTTCAGGTGAGTAGCTAGTGGGTTTGAACTGCCAGCCTTCTGGTTAGCAGTCAATTGCCTTAGGCACTACACCAGCAAGGCTCCTTCTCTTAGTCTCAAGGAAGTAAAATTTCTTATGGTTTGGTAGCTGTAAAGATCTTTTGGTCCATCTAGATAAGCTGTCCCGCATTACAGATGAGGAAAATGAGGGCCTGCAAGGGGAAGTAAATAGCCCATATCACACAGCTGTTGTTGTTATGTGCTGTCCAGTGGCACCGACTCATAGCAACCCCTCCTCGGGTTTCCAACGGTATCACTACGGAAGCAGATTGCCCAACCTTCCTTCCCATCACATAGCTAATTGGAGGCAAAGCTGAGCTAGAGCCCTGAGCTCCTCTCGGATCACTTCATGGCCAGGCCCAGTTTTACATTAAGTCTTCACCAGCAGCCCTGTCACAAGCCACACCCTTGGGTGGGACATAATTCTATCTACTAGATTTTGTCTTCAAGGATACTGAGCAATAAATATGACATTGAAAAAAAAAGAGGGGGGTTGGTGGCCAAGTTTCTTCAAGTCTAGTTCCGGCCTGGGGCCTTTGGCTAGGGTGGGTCCTGAGCTAGGGCCCCCACAGTGGTGTGGTTCTCCCAGAAGTCTTTCACCTGCTCCCTTAAGAATTGCTCATTTATTCTGTGGCTTTTGCCAAATGCATTCACTGCTTAAGCTTTTTCAGTGAGTTGGAACTTACATAACTCTCTCAAAGCGTGCCAGTTGTAGCTTGTGCTGAAAGATTTCTATTATTGATGAGCTCCTTCTATTAAGTAAGATAAAGGCCCGCGCAAACTCACTTGATGGTTTAACAGATCTGTTACTTTCTGACCTCTTTACCACTAATTGGCCTTAAATGAGCCTGGCTTGGTTTAGTAAGTAGGACATATTGTCGTATACCTACTGCTATCAGCCAGTTACTCATAAAACACTAAGACACGGTTTTTTGTTTGTTTGGTGCAGTGGCGTTGGACCCGCCTGCCAACCCTTTGACTAACTTGCTAGGTGGCCCTTGGCCCGTTCTTTCCTGAGTCTCTATTCCCTTCCGTTTGCTTCTCTAACTGCGGGGTTGAACCAGAATAATTTTTAGGTCACTTCCGTACAAATGGATGTAGAAAGGGCTCAAGTCCACCAGGTGGGGTCCACGTGGCCCGCATGCAGCTCCCAGCCGGGTGCACTGGGCCTCCGCTCATATCCACAAATTTCTTTTCCTGCCCAAGGGCATGAGACATTTAATTCCAAGTGGAAATATAGTTCCGCATGTCACTGATACTGAAATACAGCGGCGGCACCTTTTTTGCCCAAGGCTGAGGGCTAGGCGGACCGCCCCCGCGCTGGAGGGAGCGGCAGCAGTGCCTGTGGGGCCTGCGGCACCACAGTCGTGCGCGTGCGCGGATGGGCTCCAGGGCCGGGTGGGGCGCGGGGCCGAAGCGGCTTGAAACTACCAGAGGCCGCGCGAGGCGGCCAGGCGGGCACGCGCGGGGCGGGCGATGTTCGAATGCGCTGACGTTTAATAGTC